AAAATACAACACCTCTGTCCTTAGACCTCTGTCCTCAGACCCTCGTCCTTAGACCCTCTGTCCTTAGACCCTCTGTCCTTAGACCCTCTGTCCTTAGACCCTCTGTCCTAGACCCTCTGTCCTCAGACCCTCTGTCCTTAGACCCTCTGTCCTCAGACCCTCTGTCCTTAGACCCTCTGTCCTTAGACCCTCTGTCCTTAGACCCTCTGTCCTTAGACCCTCTGTCCTTAGACCCTCTGTCCTTAGACCCTCTGTCCTAGACCCTCTGTCCTCAGACCCTCTGTCCTCAGACCCTCTGTCCTAGACCCTCTGTCCCAGACCCTCTGTCCTTAGACCCTCTGTCAGACCCTCTGTCCTCAGACCCTCTGTCCCAGACCCTCTGTCCTCAGACCCTCTGTCCTTAGACCCTCTGTCCTTAGACCCTCTGTCCTTAGACCCTCTGTCCTTAGACCCTCTGTCCTTAGACCCTCTGTCCTTAGACCCTCTGTCCTCAGACCCTCTGTCCTAGACCCTCTGTCCTTAGACCCTCTGTCCTTAGACCCTCTGTCCTCAGACCCTCTGTCCTAGACCCTCTGTCCTTAGACCCTCTGTCCTAGACCCTCTGTCCTTAGACCCTCTGTCCTTAGACCCTCTGTCCTTAGACCCTCTGTCCTTAGACCCTCTGTCCTTAGACCCTCTGTCCTTAGACCCTCTGTCCTTAGACCCTCTGTCCTCAGACCCTCTGTCCTCAGACCCTCTGTCCTAGACCCTGTCCTAGACCCTCTGTCCTAGACCCTCTGTCCTTAGACCCTCTGTCCTTAGACCCTCTGTCCTTAGCCTCCCTTCAGCCCTCTGTCCTTAGACCCTCTGTCCTTAGACCCTCTGTCCTTAGACCCTCTGTCCTTAGACCCTCTGTCCTGACCCTCTGTCCTAGACCCTCTGTCCTTAGACCCTCACATCGTACAAGGAAACACTTCCAGAGAAAACCCACAGTTTAAAGGGAACATGGGAGAAACCTCAGGGAGAGCAACAGAGGAGGGATCCCTCTCCCAGTACAAGACAGACGTGCAATAGATGCCGTGTGGAAATCCAAGAGATAATACATTTCAGCATATAGACCGAATGTTAGGAAATGCATGATGCAAATGTGACCCGTGGAGAAACAGGGAGAGCGCAATGAAATCGTAGTCATCCCACGAAAAATCGGAGGGTTTGCAAGTATGGGTGGAAGTGGTGGAAGCCAACGTGCTGAAGTTAAATGAATATTAGAACAGAATATATATTTATTCAGCTTGTTTTTAAATGTTGTTTTTCATTTCCATAAGTAGTGCTTTTAAACCGCTGGAAAAGTGTTAGGAGACACTCCAACGCTATGTGGATCAATCAGTAGAAGATAATCGTTAATCGATGGTGAAAGTCATTTTTCATTATTCTAAATTGTCTCAGAATGAATCTCTACAGGAGAGGGTTAGGGCCACATGTGACACTTTTTTAAAGGTTCGACAACGGGAAAAAAAAGTGTATGTCTTGAGATTAAAGTTAGAAAGAAAGAAAACAAATCTCTTTTTGTTGGAATAGAAAACCACTTTTTCAACTCAGAATTACAGACTTTTTTTTAAGAATTCTGAGATTTTTTAGAATGGTTTTTTTCTCAAATTCAGATTTTCTTCAGAATTCTGCGATTTTTTTTTTCGAAGTCTAACTTTTATTTTTATCTAAATAAAAACAATCGCAATTTCAACTCAGAATTCAGACTTTTTCCTCAGACTTCTAATCAGTCAGAACTCAGTCGATTGAGATTTTCAGATTAGTTATTTTCATCAGAAGTGATTTTTAATCTCAGAACTAAAACTAAATAAATAATCAGATGTCAAAGTAAATTCCCACGTGGTCCCGTTACCCTCTTCTGTATGTCTCTGGGTCTGACACATTGAGAAAACACTTTTTAAACAATTCAGCATAATTATTTCAGAGATGACAAAAAAACACTTTCTTTCATTGGTCCTTCACTCTTTATCATGTTGTCCCCGTATCTGATAACACGTCTCATATCAAATAACATTCAGTGTTTGTGTTCTCTCCTTCTGATCGTCACATGTTCTCTCCGGTTGCATCACTTCCTGTGTTCGTGTAACCTTGCATGTTTGCTTTCAGATCATGCACCTGCTGTGAGAAAAGCATGTAAGTGGTCTTCAGTGTGACATCACCTAACCACAGACTGTAGCCCCGCCCCCTCCTTTATTATTAACCCTAACACGGGAGAGGGCTGCTCTGATTGGGTCACTGCTTGTTGGGTTATTTTAGTTTCTCTTCCATGGTGGAGGTTTTCATGGCGATGCACTGATTTGTAGAAGATCTCAGAAAACAGACTTTTTCATAAGAATTCTGACTTTTTCTCTGAATTCTGACTTTAATCTCAAAACAAATGTAGAATGTGGAGATTTCAGAACTGACTTTTTTCAGAATTCTCTCAGAATGTTCACTTTTCTCAGAAGTCTGAATTTATTTTCAGAACTTAGATTTGTATTTCTCTGCATTCTGAGATCAGAGGAGATTATTTCAGTGATTTTTCAGGCGTTTTCCTTCATTTGTAGATGTAGAATTCAGACTTCAAGTTTCACAGTCAGAATTTGGGATTTTCGATTTTTTTTTTTGTTCTAACACGGGAGAGGGCTGCTCTGATTGGTTCACTGCTTGTTGGGGTTATTTTAGTCCAGTTTCCTCTTCATGGCGGAGGTGTTTCTGAGGAGACGTGAGCAGAGGAAGTTATTTCAGTGATTTGACGCGCTGTTTTCTGTTATCATGACGATGCACTGATTTGTAGAAGATTTCAAAACAAATATAGAATCAAAAAAGTCCGAATTTTGAGATTTCCTAGTATTTTTTTCTCAGAATTGACTTTTTTCAGAACTTAGATTTGTATTTCTCTGCATTCTGAGATCAGAGGAGATTATTTCAGTGATTTTTAGGCGGTTTCCTTCGTTTGTAGATGTTCTCAGAATTTGGGATTTTCCAAATGTTCAGATATTTTTTTATTTTCTCAGAATTCAAAAAAGAATAAACTCTTTTGGTTAGATCAACGAAAAAAACTGAAGCCCCGCCCCCTCCTTTATTATTAACCCTAACACGGGAGAGGGCTGCTCTGATTGGGTCATTGCTTGTTGGGTTATTTTAGTTTCTCTTCATGGTGGAGGTGTTTCTGAGGCGTGAGCAGAGGAAGTACAAAAATACTCATTTTGACCTGAAACGGTTTCATTTTTAACAGATCCGTCTTCTTTCCATTTGATTCTAAATTGAAACGACTGTCTCAACATTTCCCCGGAGTAAACACAATATTCTGATTTGAAAAAGTGAATAAAAAAGGCAATTAAATGATGTTTTTTTTGAATGCACATTCACTTAAGCTCTACTGAGTTAGTGATTCTGTGACGGGGAAATGCTATACAGCCTTTTTGCAGGGAAACGCTGCAGTCCTGATTTAAGGTCTCGGGAGATTCCTTACGCTCTTGGTAGAAAAATGCAAATCCTGTTTGTCTTTACGTTTTTCACACGAGTTTGCAAAGCCCTTTCATAAAGCTCGCCACGCCTCACGTCTCGCTGAATCTCTGTCGTCGGAAGAGAACAAACGGTTTATCTCTCTGAACTGATCCCAGAGCAGCAGAAAGAGGCTGGATGCAGGCCGGAGAAACAGGAAGTCAACATGCCTGGGCTTCACCGGGATTATTTATTCCATATTTCACCTTTCTTTGGGTTTAAAACGAGACACATTGTAGTGTGTATTAATACCTTACAATCAACCTTAACTTGAGGGTAGAAGTCAATCTGTGTTATAATCTTATTTAATAATACTACCAAGGGGAAGTGATTTTATACGTCATACCTTGTTCTTAGATTTGCCCGAAAATTTGAAATAGCAATAGACGTTGTTGTTTAAAAACAGATGTAATCAATATAAATAAAAAATGAGGATACACTATTTAATTAGCTTTCGTTAGAGAGGCTGTTTCCCCCACTTTCCAGTCTTTATGCTAAGCTAACTAGCCTTGAGTTTAATGAGTCAACATGTCACTGACTAACATCTTGATTTGCTAAAGAACTATTCCAGAAAGAAGGAAATAACTCCTTGCTCTTATTTCCTTTTACCTTTAAGTACATTTTCTGTTTTAATTTGATCATATATTTTGCCGCTACCCCCTTTCCTTGAACTCCAGGAACTCAAAGTTAGTTTTGATTCAAATCTCGTTAATGTTCCTGGGCAAAAAAAAGTTTTAGAACGAGTTAATACACGGGTTAATAAACAGAGATACGGCTTTCCCCCAGTGCATTCTGACCATCTTCCTCCTGTCACCCTGCATGTCTCCTCTTCCTCCTCCTCCTCTTCCTCACTCTTTATGTTTCTCCCCCCCCCTCCAGCCCAGCAGAACCCGGCCCCCGCCCTCCCCGCGCGGCAGCTGGAGGTGGCATTGAACCGGCAGCAGAGGTACTTCAGGATCCCCTTCATCCGCCCGGGGGACGCCTACTCAGACCCCCAGAACACCAAGAAGGGCTGGTGGTACGCTCACTTCGACGGGCCGTGGATCGCCAGGCAGATGGAGCTGCACCCCGACAAACACCCCGTCGTCCTGGTGGCAGGTAGGGGAACTGCACGAGTACTAATATACAAAGTATTTAGAAAGAAGAGGGGTACCAGAACTAAAGGAGTACATGTATACAAAGTACAAGAAGTATTTATAAAGTAGAGGGGGGAGAACTACATGGGAGTACAAATATACAAAGTATTTATAAAGTAGAGGTGGGAGAACTACACGGGAGTACAAATATACAAAGTATTTATAAAGTAGAGGTGGGAGAACTACACGGGAGTACAAATATACAAAGTATTTATAAAGTAGAGGTGGGAGAACTACACGGGAGTACAAACAAAGTACAAGAAGTACTCAGATCTTGTACTTGAGTAAAAGTAGAAGTACTCAGATCTTGTACTTGAGTAAAAGTAGAAGTACTCAGATCTTGTACTTGAGTAAAAGTAGAAGTACTCAGATCTTGTACTTGAGTAAAAGTAGAAGTACTCAGATCTTCTACTTGAGTCAAAGTAGAAGTACTCAGATCTTGTACTTGAGTAAAAGTAGAAGTACTCAGATCTTGTTCTTGAGTAAAAGTAGAAGTACTCAGATCTTGTACTTGTGTAAAAGTAGAAGTACTCAGATGTTGTACTTGAGTAAAAGTAGAAGTACTCAGATGTTGTACTTGAGTAAAAGTAGAAGTACTCAGATCTTGTACTTGTAGTAAAAGTAGAAGTACTCAGATGTTGTACTTGAGTAAAAGTAGAAGTACTCAGATCTTGTTCTTGAGTAAAAGTAGAAGTACTCAGATCTTGTACTTGAGTAAAAGTAGAAGTACTCAGATCTTGTACTTGAGTAAAGTAGAAGTACTCAGATCTTCTACTTGAGTCAAAGTAGAAGTACTCAGATCTTGTACTTGAGTAAAAGTAGAAGTACTCAGATCTTGTTCTTGAGTAAAAGTAGAAGTACGCAGATCTTGTACTTGAGTAAAAGTAGAAGTACTCAGATCTTGTACTTGAGTAAAAGTAGAAGTACTCAGATCTTGTACTTGTAGTAAAAGTAGAAGTACTCAGATCTTGTACTTGAGTAAAAGTAGAAGTACTCAGATCTAGTACTTGTAGTAAAAGTAGAAGTACTCAGATCTTGTACTTGAGTAAAAGTAGAAGTACTCAGATGTTGTACTTGTAGTAAAAGTAGAAGTACTCAGATCTTGTACTTGAGTAAAAGTAGAAGTACTCAGATCTAGTACTTGTAGTAAAAGTAGAAGTACTCAGATCTTGTACTTGAGTAAAAGTAGAAGTACTCAGATGTTGTACTTGTAGTAAAAGTAGAAGTACTCAGATGTTGTACTTGTAGTAAAAGTAGAAGTACTCAGATCTTGTACTTGAGTAAAAGTAGAAGTACTCAGATCTTGTACTTGTAGTAAAAGTAGAAGTACTCAGATCTTGTTCTTGAGTAAAAGTAGAAGTACTCAGATGTTGTACTTGAGTAAAAGTAGAAGTACTCAGATCTTGTACTTGAGTAAAAGTAGAAGTACTCAGATCTTGTACTTGAGTAAAAGTAGAAGTACTCAGATCTTGTTCTTGAGTAAAAGTAGAAGTACTCAGATCTTGTACTTGAGAGAAAGTAGAAGTACTCAGATATTGTACCTGAGTAAAAGTAGAAGTACTCAGATCTTGTACTTGAGTAAAAGTAGAAGTACTCAGATCTTGTACTTGAGTAAAAGTAGAAGTACCAGAGTGTAGGAATACTCTGTTACAGTAAAAGTCCTGCATTCAAAATGTTCCTCAAGTGAAAGTAGCGACAGTAAAAGTATTCATTGTGCAGAAGGTCCTGTATTAGTTAAGCACAGTACTTAGTTACTTGACACCTTGGTTAAAAAGTCATAGTATGTCACATGTCATATAGCATGTTAGAACATGCTGAAAGATGACTGAGTATTGCATGTATTCACGTGAACATGCTGACGTTAAACCCTCCTGCTCCTTTGATCCGTCACTAACTCGTATGTTCTTCTTCAGGTAAAGACGACATGGAGATGTGCGAGTTGAGTCTGGAGGAGACCGGCCCTCTCCAGGAAGCGAGGCGCAGAGATCCTGCCCCGGCAGTTTGAGGAGATTTGGGAGCGCTGTGGGGGGGTGACGTACCTCCGCAGCGCCATCGAGAGCCGGCAGGCCAGACCCACGTACGCCACCGCCATGATGCAGAGCATGTTCAAATAATGAAGGAACACAAAGGGACGAATGCACCAGCTACCTAACACGGGGGGGGGGGTTTCTTTGTGTTCTGTTCCTAACAAGGGAAGCTTTGCATTGAAGCCTATGCAGAAACATCCCATTAATCATCACCTCTGATAGTCTGATGTCCAGCTTTAGTGAACCTGGAGATGAATACCCGACGCTTTAATAGAAAGGTAGAGTAGAAACGTCCGGATGCTAACCTGCACACGTTGGGACATTTAGACGATTGGGATACGCTGCGTTAGTTGGAGTTAATTAGAGTTAATTAGAGTTTAAAGCCCATGAGCTATCCAGCTTGAGTGAACCTGGGACTGTTGTAAGAAATGTAGAGTAAGGATCCCCTGCGCATAGGAACTACTGGATGCTAACACTTAGATATGTTGCGTTAATTAGCATGAATAGCCCATGCAGACGGTAAGGGGCAGTTTTGAAGCGGTCGTGGGGTTTATTGAGAATGCAAACAAAGGGACGAATGCACCAGCTACCTAACACGTGTTTCTTTTCTTTGTGCTGGTGTTCTGTTCCTAGAAAGCTTCGCGTTGAACCCTATGCAGACACATCCCATTAGTCATCACCTCTTGCCAGCTTTAGTGAACTTGGAAGTGTTATGTTAGAAATGTAGAGTAAGGGTCCCCAGCTAGCTAACACAGGAGGGGTTGTTTCTTTTCTTTGTGTTCCTAACAAGGGAAGCTCTGCGTTGAACCCTATGCAGACACATCCCATTGATCATCACCTCTGAGAGTCTGAGGTCCAGCTTTAGTGAACCTGGGAGTCTTGTTTTTAGAGTAAGGGTCCCCAGAACATAGAAACTGCCGGATGCTAACCTGCTTATGTTGGGACATGTACACAATTAGGCTCTAACGCTAATGAATGCTAATTAGAGCAACTTATCCTATGTGGACGATAATGTCTAAAGCGGTTTTGGGCGTTATTGAGGACGCTGAATCCATTTCTGAAATGTTCAGGGTGATGGCACTTTTAACGAGGAGGTGGCCACACTTGTACTCTGATTTCGACCACCATGAGAAGCGCTTCGATCATTGGATACAGAGAGCACAAGATCTCTACTGTGGACAACTTTTACTATTAAATACGCAACCTGTCCAACCCAGATGACCCAGTCCCCTAGATCATCATAATCCACAGAGTGACGATATGTCCACTTTCTGATTAAGAGTGCTTGTTGATTAGAGATGCATTCGGCTTCCTCAATAACCTCCAAAACCACTCAAATCTGAACTATTGCCAACACAAGCTACGCTATAATGCTAATGAATGCAGCTTGTGCTAATTGCCCATTATGCAGGTTAGCTTCCAGTAGTTTGGGACCCTTACTCTACATTTCCATCATGAAGCATGTCCTGGTTCTCTTTAGGGAGCTGCTAATCGGACCCTCTGGTTGTTTCCCTGTAACATTTCTCTAAGTCTAACGACGAGGCCTTACTTCTCTAACGGGGTTCAAACGCCACATGTACACAACTCTTTTTGTTTTACAAGCTGCCTCCCCAAACCCAGATGTGATGATGCATTCCTGATGGTGTGTCTCTTCCATATTAACCGTAAACTGTGTACATCGTCTCCGTGGTTCCTTCAGGGCGGGGAACACTTGCACAAGGAGCCTCTGTTCTTTATCGTTTTGTCTTTCCAAGCGAATGTAACTGGAGACCTGGTTGATTTGTTCCTGTAGTGATTCCTCTTCTCACTGTGTGTGATTTCATGTGTAATGAGGTCCAAGAAACATCTGACTTTGACGTCGGACCCTCCATGGGTTTCTGTTTTTGGCCTGAGCGTTAATTCAGCTCTGATTATTTGTGTTTATTAAGTGAATGATTATGCAACCCCTCTGCAGAAAGAAGTCCTTCAAACCATCGTTAAGTCTTTTCTACTCGAGGACAAATAATCCAATCATTCCACTGAGTTGCTTAAAAGTATAATTTGATTCCTAAAATGTTAAGAAATGATTGAATCTCACGTCAGATTTGGACGTTTTGAGAAGATAGCGGTGAAGCGCTGGTGCTCAGACGCTAACTGGAAAGTACAGTTTCTTACAGCGGGTGCAGAAGTGTGTGCAGGCAACTGGAAAGTGTGTACTTCACCAGAAGCAAAACATCTAGCTAACTAAGCAGACGGGGAAACAGAAAGCCTCGTGTGACGGGAACATTGTCAAATAAAGAGACAATCTGCTGCTGTGAGGCTGCACCTTCGTTCACCTGAGGTTGTTCCTCTGGATGATCTGAAAGCATGAACATCTGTCTTGTTGCAAAGAAGCTGATCCCCCTTTTTTACAAATGGCATTAACGTGCGGGAAAGCCGTGAACAAAAGCACCAAAGATCCTCGGAGACATGTCCCGGTTCAGATGAGCCGTTACCTTTTGAAAAGACTCCAGGGACTTTAGAAACGAGGCGTAAACAAACGTCTACAATTCCCCCTGTTTATTCTCATTTAACTTCCTTTTCCTCGTCTCATTTCTTCCTCTATTCTGCAATCCGTAAAGTCCAATTCATGCATTACAGAAAGTGAAAAAACACTTCCAGTTGAATCAGTTCAGGTTGAAACTGAGTTACATCAGCAAGGACTGCAATTAGCATGTTAAAGCTAGTTAGAGAGCAGAACTGAGGACCAGCGAGACACAGGGTTAAATGCATGAAGACAAACCTTTCCTTCCTGCTTCGAAGCACGTTAATGCCGGGTGTAAACGGGCGACTTTTCCGCCCTGAAACACTCCCTGAAAACCTGCTCCACACATCACAATCATTCCTGGGGAAGCACTGCCTTTGTCCACTGTCACTTTTCTAACGTTGATCTCTAACAGAAGAATAAAAGCATTCCATGTTTCACCAAATCTCCGCTTCTTCTTCCTTGTTTTGTTGCTCCTGCTCACGGTCCTGCTGAAAACGGCGCCTCTTATTCAACACAGTTTGTATTTTTTAGCTATCGTGATATCACCACAGTTGAATGACAATTAAATAAATAAGAAAAACACATATTAGCGTTTTGCCCCGCCCAGAAAAGCAGCAATGTGTTTGGTCTATTTACACGAGCTGTACAAGAGGATCAGGTACACAGCAGAAACACCAGCCTGTTTTAAACCAGTTTCAAGAGAAGGGACTCTTCAAATGAAAAGGTTAGCATTTAGCATTCAGCCACACACAGCAGGTGGTACGGCTGTAGAGTCGTTTAATGAAATGTATCATTTGTGTAAAACGCAATCACTTCTACACACTTCCAACAAGATTCGTGAAAATCGGACCTATAGTTTTTCCGTAAGCTTGCAAACAAACAAACCCTTGGATACTATCAACTCATTAAGCCCTTTAAAAGAATCAATATGAGAAGGGGGAAACACTTTTTGGTTGATCTCCAAACGACAACACATACGCTCCAGACAGAAAGTGGCATTAATAATTATATTAACATTATATTACAATATGTTTTAAGGGTTACACGCTAAAGGGTTGGGATCCAATAATCTAGTCTGTGGATTTTCATGACCGATAATGTGCTCTTCGTCTTCCGTCCAGACGTTTAGGGGTTCAACAGGGCGGCTGTTTGGGCCTCCTGGACTTTGGCGTGTTAGCAAACCTAAACATCCTGAGTGTTTAACACGCTACTCACTACACAAACACAAAGAGAGAATCAGACAAAAACAGTCCGTCGTGGATCGATATCCCGCTGAGACGAAGGCTGTCCGACAGTTTTTTAAAAAGTGTCCAAAATGTCTGGAGATCGTCCTCTGGTGTGAAAGAGCTCTGGAGAGTTGGTACAGTTTGTCCTGAAAGCTGTTCAGCTCTGAAGAGTGTCTGATGTTTAACTGAAGAAGAGACGAGGACCTGCTGAGTCCCGTTTCATCGAGTCTGCGGGGACGAAATATACGCTATTATAGACGCAGTCCACCAATTACAGAGTCAATCAACAAAAGTGTATTCATATAGCCCAATATCACATGTTACATCTGTCTCCGTGGACTTTACAGGATGAATACCCTCTGTCACATCAGACAAGGGAAAAAACCCAGTTAATGGGAGAAAAAGTCATAGAAATATTCATTAAAATTCATATAAAAGTCATACAAAATAATTTAAATAAAGTAATCATATATAGTTAAATAAAACCTTAAAAGATCATCGTATCGTGAGTCTTATAAAAGCAATTTAAATGTCATGTAAAATTAATAAAGTCAAAGCAAATTGTCGTATGAAAAGGTCATTTAAAAAAAGTAATAAAATAGTCATAACAAATAATTTACATAAAGTCATAGCATCATATGTAGTAAAAAAAAAATAACTCTTAAAAGCTCATAGTATTTTGAGTTTTAAAAAAGTCAGATTTAAAAGTCAAAGTCATTCAGAAACATAAAAAACAAGTCATTTAAAGGCCCAATCCCAAACACGCCCTACACCCTACCCTCAGTGATCACCAACTGGCGGCCCGCGGGCCACATCCGGCCCTCCAGACATTCTCATCTGGCCCGCACGACGGGGGTGACTGTGGCGTTGGCGGAGTGGTTACTGCGTTCGCCTCCCACCCATTTTTTTTTGTTACAACGTCCCGTGAGTAAGGTGCAGTACCGGAGTCCAACAGAGAGGCAGTAGACTGCGTACTGCGAAACCTTCCCTGCCTTGAACAAGAATTGATCCTTCGTTGTGAAGAGTCTGGTTAATGCGCTCCGCACCACAGCAGCAGCCCCGCTGCGACAGAGTCCAACAGAGAGGCAGGAGCTGCGGGACAGTAGCCTAGAAGCAGGGTTGGGTTGTAACGGAATACATGTAACGGCGTTACGTAATCAGAATACAAAAATCAAGTAGGCTAACTGTATTCAGCTGGCGTTACATTTAAAAAACGAGTAATCTGATTACAGTTGCTTTCGTAAACCTGAAGTGAATACATTTTAGAATACTTTTTGGAATTATTGGTGGAAAAGTTTCCTCACAAAATGTAATATTCATTACCGGCAGAGCTGTGTGCACACTGCACAGCGCTGCAGCATGTCTGTGAGAGAGAGAGAGATGCAGCGTCTGTGAGGCCCCGCCCCCGCACGCAGATGAGAGAGAGATCTCTTTTAAAATATATTGAAAGTTAGAAACGGAGATGGTTAGATAAAATGTGCAAGATAACGTTTATGTAGCATTTCTTTATAGTCGCGATGATGACATTTCATAACGGGATCAAATCAAAGTGAATGGCCTGCTGCTGCTGAATGCATGGGGCAAGTGACTGGAAACAGTTTTAAAAGTTATTACATCGTTTCAGATAATACATAATAATGATAATTCATTCTATTTAGGGGCGACTTTCAAAGCACCAAGGACACCTTACAATTCATAATATATTCCAAGGAAAGGTTTTACGACAGTACAAAGAATGCAGTCCGGGTGATGTGTTTTATGTGGGGTGCAGATGAGAGAGCTGTCCAGAATGACACCAAGATGTTGTGTTTGAGTTCTTGATAAGCCATTAAAACAGTAAAATACGTGTCTCCTGTTCCCCAAAACATACCCATCTGTTATGGAAAAAGAAAGTATTCTAAAAGTAATCTGAATACATTTTTAAGACACGTAACTGTATTCTGATTACTTTCAGAGCATGTATTCAGTAACTGATTACATTTACAAAGTAACCCTCCCAACCCTGCCTAGGAGTGATCCTTTGTTAGTGTGAAGAGTCTGCTAAGCTTTATGCGGTCCACAGTACCTGAGCGTGCTCCACTAGCACCCCCCCCCCCCCCCACTTCAAAATTCTGGGCTCCCTGCGACACAGTGGCCGTTTCGCAATCTCGAGGATACTGGCTTCTAAGCCAATATTTCAAGGATGCTACGTCATCGAGTGCCGCCGAAGTACTGTTCCAATGTCCAGCATACTTGGAATTCCACCGAGGCCGCGTACTTGGTTTGGGGGAAATTTCGAGGCTGCACATGAGTAGACTTTCGCGTCCTTAAAATCCCCACAATGCTTTGCGCACGGAACAATTTCAAAAACCCTTGCGGAGAATGGCTGAACCGACGCAGCACACATTGAAATGTAAGTATGTAGTGGCGTAGAACATGTGTTGGTAAATATGTGACTTTGTTACATTTGTTTGTTATCACCAAAAATGTGTTCCGTGAAAGTAAAGCAAGTTCATAATTAGATAGACATCGTGAGGAACAGTTTATGTTGAAACCATTAGAGAGAGTGGCACACTTGTTAGCCTTTTCCATTCTTCTTCGTTTTCCGAAGCCGTGGCTTGGAAGTATACTTGCTTCGTTTCTGAAGGAAGTGACTTGGAAGTATGCGACTACCAAGCCAGCATCCTCGAGATTGAGAAACGGCCACTAACTCCGTGGAGTGCCACTCGCAGCTGAACGAGGCTCCTCCTGTCAGAGGGAGTAAACACAGCAGCAAGCTTTGGGACGGCCTCCCCTCTCTCCGCAGAAACAGGAAGTGCCGTAACTGTTTGTAACAACGGTTTCAAATCAGCATCTCTTTGACAAAAAGTTTAAATGAATAACTCAAATAAAACTCCAAACATCTTTCATTGTGTTTCAAAGCTCTTTTAGTTTTAAACCTGATGTTTATAAGCGTCTTAGTTTTTGCAACGGTCTGTAAATATACACAACTTTATAATAAAATGCACACATTTACCTTTTTCTCGACTAAACACAGGTTTGATCCTAAGTTAAAACATATGAGGTTATCATGAGGTTGCTAACATCGCAGTTTATCAGTGGATGTTTGCTGGAACTACTTGTTAACAGCTTGTTTCCCGACGGACACACACAGCAAGGAGACCGGTCAGGTAGAGGAGGCGTGTGGCGCAGTGGGTAGTGCGCTGGTGTTGGGAGCAGGGGGTCACAGGTTCAAACCCCACTGCAGTCAGCATGTCGTTGTGTCCCTGAGACGCTTCACCCCAAAGTGCTCCTGTGGGGATCGTCCTCAGTGCTGAGCATGTGAGTCGCTTTGGATAAAAGCGTCTAACAGGTGAGGTAGAGACCGGTCTCCAGTCAGCATCGCTGCAGACTCGCTGTTTGAGGGCTTGATAACCCACTCCCCCTCCACACCGCTCCACACTCGTTGGTTTGGAACAGCCCTTAATGCGGACCCTCCGCGCAAACGGGCAAACTGAGGGGTAGTGTGTAGGGGGCGGTTTGGGATTGGGCCAAAGTAATATAAAGGTCTTCAAAAAAGCTCATAGTATCGTGATTCTTATAAAAGTCATAACAAATCTTTTTTTAAAAGGTCATAAAAAGTCATATCATATCTAGTAAAGAAGCACCACGTTCTCCAGCTCCGGTTTTTAAATTGAAGCTGAGTGAGCTCGATGTTCTGATTGCACGAGGCGCTTCAACAAACGTACCTGTTGTGTTATTCTCAGGTGTCGTCCAATCAGATGCTTCGCTTTAACTGGAGAGTCCTGAGAGGGCGGGGCTGTCTCTGTGTCTGGAAGAGAGGAAGTGAGGAGTGAGAGAGGAAGTGCAGCTGCAGCTCTTTGTGTGAGATACAGAACACCTGCTCAAACTGCAAAGTGTTGAAAGAGCTGCAGAGAAAGCAGCAGGACACTCACACGAGGAGGAGATGTGGAAATACACTAGATACGAATATTGTTTCCTCCTGACTGATGTATCCTAACATATTGAGTCCCAGCAGTTAAAATAGGGCAAAAAAGTAAGGAAGTGAATGACATGCTTTGTGATGAATTCATCTTCATCGCTGGGAGAAGTATTTTGAAATGTTCTAATGGAGCAGGCATTGGCTCAACATGTCTTTCATTTCAATGCTATGCCTCCTAGAGAGCGGTGCAGGGACGAGTCCTAAAACCAGGAAGTGAGTCAGCAGGTCACCACTTCCTGTTCCCTGGTCTCAGAGCCAATGGGATCTCTCCATAGGGTTTAGGAGAATATCTGAACTAAGGTCTGTGCTTGAGACACATTGAAGAGACGGGTCACGTTTTGTTCTACCACATTAAATCATCAGCAGTGACCCCACTGGTGATTTCTGAAGAGTGGACGTGTCTGAGAAACGATGGTTGTTACCAAGTGGCTGAATAGGACTACAGAAGTCGTGGAGGCCGTTGTACGTCATTACGCCGAACACGTGAACACTCCTCTAAGTTAGTTTCTGTTCTGCTTGAAAGCAAGTCCCTGCTTCCTGCAGACTGTTCAAACAAACGCTTCAACTCGTTCCATCTAGAATCTGTGAGTTTGAATCTGGATCTGAAGTTGGCGTGACGTTGAAGTCGTGCTGCTGGACTCTGCTGTAGCTCCTTTATAGCATCACGTTAACATGTAGCTTCTGGAGATTAGATTTATGATTCTAACATTATGAAAGTAGACATGTGGAGATGATCCGGCTGAACAAACATTTATCAAACAGGTTCCTTTTCCACAGACTTTATTTTATACAATATTCCAAAATCCTCTGGAGAAATCCTGTTGCTTTTTGTCGAGGGAACCGGCAGCTTCCTTCAGGTTCGGCCTACAACAATATCTTAGGGGCCTGTGGCTCAGGGGCTTAGTGCGCTAATTTCGGATCAGGAGAGCATGTCGTTGGACCCCGAGTTGCTGTGCTTTCGTACTGATTTGCCTCTTCTGATTAACTGGTCTTTATCCTCCACGCTCACTGTTCACTGCTCACTGTTCACTGCTCACTGTTCACTGCTGCTCCAACCCAGTCTCACGGCATTTCGTGTTGCACAGCACGATTTTAAAAGCAATGTATTTCTACTGGTAATGACGCTCATGGAAGCACGGCATTCGTTTGTGTCGGCTGCCCTTAAAGGCAATGTGAGCGTCCATTCCCATTGGATAACGGAGAATTGTACACCCGGAAGTAAGTATTCCCCTTACTGTCGATTGATTTTACAGTGATATCTGCACTACTCATCGACTAAAAAACACCAGATTATCCTTGTTAATTACACAACATTGATTGGTTTAAATTGTGTGCAATGCTTTTGTATTTTTCCCCTTCGATTCGGAGAAACAAATGTGTTTTTGGAGTAAAGGATACCCAGAATCCCCAGCTATCGTTTAGGACTACACCATGTGCTCTGCTTGACAAACCCCGTGATAGTCCTCAAGCTCTGTGATTGGAGAGTGTGCTCCGAGGGTTGCCGAGCCTCGAACAGCACTTGAAATGGGATGGAACCACGGCAGACTGTCGGTCCACCGCATCCCCCCCTCCCCCACCCCGTCCCCAGAACTACACATGCTGGCTATTCTGTTTCGCAACATGTTCTGTATCTATGGCACGTCTCTACTGGGAGTTGTAGTTTTAAAAGACGTTTTCGTATTTCCCATAATAAGAAGTGGCCAGTATTAAACTGTGTACATCCCTGGAGGTTTAGGGGATAGGAAACACTCACATTTAAAACATATAATTAATAAATGGGTGAAAATTGCTTGTGCCCATAATGGGCAGCATTAATATATATACACACATGCCAGCTAAGGTCAGAAGAGCTTTATTTAACAGCTGGTCTTATGTCTGTGACCCCTCCTGTTGTTCATTGATAACATTACATTACATTAATTGATAAGCCTGAAACATTCAGAGGCACATTTTGCAAATATGGCAGTAGCCATCGATCAGCTTAAGATAAGATATATTTTATTGATCCCAAGTTGGAACATTTGTGTTACATCAGCATGTGTATAGTTGTACATATGCAGTGGTGTTTATTTGTAAATCATTTAGTATAATCACACAAATTCTGTGTTTTATATTGAACAATTCTGTGTTCTTTATTTATTGATTGTTCAATACCTGACAAGGCCGGAGATGAAATATCTACATACATCTTATAAGAGTATAATACATTATGTATAATATCAGTTAAAATAAGTGCTTCAACATAGTTAACATTGCTGGAGGTATGCACATATTGATAGATGTCTTGTAATGCACTATTGAGGAACCTGCGACCCAAGTTTTTCATTCAATGCAGAACTACACCATAGTTGTGTCGGCCTATATGATATGTCAATAAACCTTAGGAAATCATGAAATCTTGAAAGGGATGTGCAAAATAGTCATTATATACAGTCTTTAATTAACTATTAGTAGAGAATAACGAGTAATTAATATACTTTATAGGGATCCTATTAATATCTAATAATAAAAATAATGAAATTCAATAACATGCTTTAACCACTAGGTGTCCCTTTATATCAGCTGTGCACCTTTATGGTGTAAATACAGCCTATCTGCCAATTGGATCAAATATAAAAGTCAGCCGAATTAGTGTTGATACTGCAAGGAGACGTATTGTGTGAAAATAAATGTAAGATGTTGTTTAATGGCTGATATATTTATGATCCACGTCACGTTTTCAGTTCCTCATGTTTGTCCAGAAGTCTTCTCATCAGGGCTCTATAAATACAGAACTACGGCAGATATGTAATATTTAATGCAGCCGAACCGAGTATTACAATGCCGTTATGTGATGACTTTCAAAGAGAAAAGCAAGCACACTCGGAATAAAGTATTATTTATTTTTTTAAATGTTTTCGGTCTGTTTCCGGTATTTGTTAATGACGATGTTCTGTGAGATGTGAGACTGGAATCGCACAGGGGAAAATAACGTAGGCTATCTTTAGATGCGGATGTTGTTAAACTAATATGTTTGCGCTGTGGACCAACACTATACATTGACGGGAAAGGGGGTAGCAATAAAGATAACACCATTAAACAGTGTTAGAAATTAAAATCAATATTTTGATGGCATAATGTACCTTAAATGTACCTTCAGTTTAAATGCTGTTTTATACTGAAAAACCAGAAAATTATTGTGCACAACCAGTTAAGCTTTTATTCTGAAAATCCTTCATCTCCGGTTAGCATGTGGCTAGTTTACCATGTCTTATAGAGGTTAATTTAGTAGCGAAATGACATGGAGTGATGCACACCGAAACCTACTGATTTTAACACTGCAACCATAGACGTATTATTATTGCTGAATATTAAATGAAGGTATAGTTTATTTGAATAAAGTTATTGTTTACAGACGTGGGTAAGATGTGACAACTTCCGGAATGACCAGAAACCAAACCAGCCGTGAAGTATTTTCTGTATTTTTTAGAATATTAACTACAACGTTTAGAATGTGTTAAAGGAAAAGTGATGAAAGACAATATGAGGAGAAGAGGCGTGTTTAAGTATGTATTGAATGTACAATGCCTGAATCCTCTGTTTAAACGTAACAACGGACATTAAGATGTGGAGGGCCGGCCCGCAGGGAGGAGCCTGCAGAAGCTATATAAGAGCAGCACCTGAGCGGTTCGGCCTCTTTTCTCTGCTAGCGAGGGCCAGAGACAGCTGCTTTTCTGTCGGACAATATCCTGTTTGTGACTGTACCGCGCCTTTTATGAATTAAAGTACCAATTTGAAAACATCTCAGAGACTCCATTTAGTCTCCTTTTTAAGCTTCTCTTTCCTGGACGCGAGAATAACCATCACAGTTAACAACAGTTACACAACATAACAGAAATAATATCGATAGCAGCGTCCCTAGGTAACAATGAAAACTTCCTGAAGTAATCTTCGTAATAGCAAACTAAAGATCATGTACATCCACTGCACACATAATCTGAAATAACAACTCATATTTCTCGCATCAAATGACATCAAAACGCATTTTAATGGCCAAACTAACTTTAAAATAGGCATTTTCCACCGAGAATAAAACGAAGTTCGGCCATGTTTTTTTTTTCTGCAGGGAGAAATTTGAAGATCACGAGACATAGACGCCAGCCATTGGAATGAATGGTGAAAAAAAAACGGAGTTTGTCAAACAGAGCACATGGTGTAGTCCAAACGATAGCTGGGGATTCTGGGTAGTGTAGTGTCTTCTGCCATCCTTTACTCCGAAAAAATATTTTTTTCTCCGAATCGAAGGGGGAAAATACAAAAGCATTGCACACAATTTAAACCAATCAATGTTGTGTAATTAACAAGGATAATCTGGTGTTTTTTAGTCGATGAGTAGTGCAGATATCACTGTAAAATCAATCGACAGTAAGGGGAATACTTACTTCCGGGTGTACAATTCTCCGTTATCCAATGAGAATGGACGCTCACATTGCCTTTAAGGGCAGCCGACACAAACGAATGCCATGCTTCCATGAGCGTCATTACCAGTAGAAATACATTGCTTTTAAAATCGTGCTGTGCAACACGAAAAAAAGGGGAAAATCGTGTTGGTGAACACGAAATGCCGTGAGACTGGGTTGCTGCTCACTGCTGCTCACTGTTTACTGCTGCTCACTGTTTACTGCTGCATGACTACACCAAACGGAGTTAATCACAGGTGGTAAATCCAACTCCAATGCTTCCACCAAAACCCTTCAATCCCCCAAAAACCAGACTGAAAAGCTGCTGCCGCCTCAGAGCTCAGGGAGGAGGAGAATGATGAAATATACAGGGTCCAGAGTGAAGAGGATCTGCATTCCTCTCACACACTCACTCATCGACCTGCTGATGTTCAGGTGTATATCAGTATGTAGTGTCTCTACTTTAAAGAGTCCTCTCCTGCTGATGATCAGGTGTATATCAGTATGTAGTGTCTCTACTTTAAAGAGTCCTCTCCTGCTGATGTTCAGGTGAATATCAGTATGTAGCGTCTCTACTTTAAAGAGTCCTCTCCTGCTGATGTTCAGGTGTATATCAGTACATAGTGTCTGTACTTTAAAGGGTCCTCTCCTGCTGATGTTCAGGTGTATATCAGTATGTAGTGTCTCTACTTTAAAGAGTCCTCTCCTGCTGATGTTCAGGTGTATATCAGTATGTAGTGTCTCTACTTTAAAGAGTCCTCTCTTGCTGATGTTCAGGTGTATATCAGTATGTAGTGTCTCTACTTTAAAGAGTCCTCTCCTGCTGATGATCAGGTGTATATCAGTATGTAGTGTCTCTACTTTAAAGAGTCCTCTCTTGCTGATGTTCAGGTGTATATCAGTATGTAGTGTCTCTACTTTAAAGAGTCCTCTCCTGCTGATGTTCAGGTGTATATCAGTATGTAGTGTCTCTACTTTAAAGAGTCCTCTCTTGCTGATGTTCAGGTGTATATCAGTATGTAGTGTCTCTACTTTAAAGAGTCCTCTCCTGCTGATGTTCAGGTGTATATCAGTATGTAGTGTCTCTACTTTAAAGAGTCCTCTCCTGCTGATGTTCAGGTGTATATCAGTATGTAGTATCTCTACTTTAAAGAGTCCTCTCCTGCTGATGTTCAGGTGTATATCAGTATGTAGTGTCTCTACTTTAAAGAGTCCTCTCCTGCTGATGTTCAGGTGTATATCAGTATGTAGTATCTCTACTTTAAAGAGTCCTCTCCTGCTGATGTTCAGGTGTATATCAGTGTGTAGTGTCTCTACTTTAAAGAGTCCTCTCCTGCTGATGTTCAGGTGTATATCAGTATGTAGTGTCTGTACTTTAAAGAGTCCTCTCCTGCTGATGTTCAGGTGTATATCAGTATGTAGCGTCTCTACTTTAAAGAGTCCTCTCCTGCTGATGTTCAGGTGTATATCAGTACGTAGTGTCTATACTTTAAAGAGTCCTCTCCTGCTGATGTTCAGGTGTATATCAGTACGTAGTGTATGTACTTTAAAGAGTCCTCTCCTGCTGATGTTCAGGTGTATATCAGTACGTAGTGTCTCTACTTTAAAGAGTCCTCTCCTGCTGATGTTCAGGTGTATATCAGTACGTAGTGTCTCTACTTTAAAGAGTCCTCTCCTGCTGATGTGCAGGTGTATATCAGTATGTAGTGTCTCTACTTTAAAGAGTGCTCTCCTGCTGATGATCAGGTGTATATCAGTATGTAGTGTCTCTACTTTAAAGAGTCCTCTCCTGCTGATGTTCAGGTGTATATCAGTATGTAGTGTATCTACTTTAAAGAGTCCTCTCCTGCTGATGTTCAGGTGTATATCAGTATGTAGTGTCTCTACTTTAAAGAGTCCTCTCCTGCTGATGTTCAGGTGTATATCAGTATGTAGTGTCTCTACTTTAAAGAGTCCTCTCCTGCTGATGATCAGGTGTATATCAGTATGTAGTGTCTGTACTTTAAAGAGTCCTCTCCTGCTGATGTTCAGGTGTATATCAGTACGTAGTGTCTGTACTTTAAAGAGTCCTCTCCTACCTGCAGAAGTCTGGATTCAGGTCACAAACACTCTGGCAGGGAAGTCCGTCCACTGACAGGAAACCAGGTTCACAAACACACCGAGCTTCTTTCATCCTGCCGCTCAGAACGCAGCGAGAGAACTCCTCACAGGCCAGGAACTTACAGGGATCCGCCTGATCCGCTGTGGAAGAGGAGAGAAGAAGTACTTTATTGATCCTGCGTTGCAGCAGCATAAAAAGAAAAGATATTGAACATTAGAGAAATTAAAAGAGTATCTCAAATAGAAATAAAAGCTAGTCCATCCATTACTGTAACAAGAATCTGATCAAATAACCCTGTGCTAAATATTATGCTACTGCTGTAATCAACCCACTCCACACTGTTTTCTTAAAATGGTTGACTTTTTAAGAACTTGACTTTTTTGTCTAAGTGTAATATTTTTCAGAATTGGACTTTTTTTTTAAATAAAATTGACTTTTTAAATAAAATTGACTTTTCAAAGAATTTTGACTTTTTTTAAAAGAATTTGAATTTTTTCACAGAATTTTATATTTTTCAGAATTTTGACTTTTCTTTCAGAATTTAGACTTTTTTTTAAAGAATTAAGTCATAGTGGAAATGCAAACTACAGTAACAACATATAAAGCAGGATATATACATAAGTAGGTGAGGAATGGAATATTAAATATTAGATTGGATATAAATGTAAGATGTACAGTGGGAGTTTAAGTGGAGGAGGAGGAGGAAGATGAAGATGAAGAAGATTAATATTCCTACAGAGTGAGCTGCTGTTTGATTTTTAATGAGCTCTGGTCAGATTGAGATGTTTGGACACTTCTGAGAGGAAACGTCAGAAACACTCTTTTTCTTTTCTTTACTTTCTCATCTCTGAAATATCTCCATAAAACACCTCAGTCCTGACAAACTACAGTCCTGACAAACTACAGTCCTGACGAACTACAGTCCTGACAAACTACAGTCCTGACGAACTACAGTCCTGACAAACTACAGTCCTGACAAACTACAGTCCTGACGAACTACAGTCCTGACGAACTACAGTCCTGACAAACTACACCTCAGTCCTGACAAACTACACCTCAGTCCTGACAAACTACATCTCAGTCCTGACAAACTACAGTCCTGACAAACTACAGTCCTGACAAACTACATCTCAGTCCTGACAAACTACATCTCAGTCCTGACAAACTACAGTCCTGACAAACTACATCTCAGTCCTGACAAACTACACCTCAGTCCTGACAAACTACACCTCAGTCCTGACAAACTACATCTCAGTCCTGACAAACTACATCTCAGTCCTGACAAACTACATCTCAGTCCTGACAAACTACATCTCAGTCCTGACAAACTACACCTCAGTCCTGACAAACTACATCTCAGTCCTGACAAACTACATCTCAGTCCTGACAAACTACACCTCAGTCCTGACAACTACATCTCAGTCCTGACAAACTACATCTCAGTCCTGACAAACACCTCAGTCCTGACAAACTACATCTCAGTCCTGACAAACTACATCTCAGTCCTGACAAACTACATCTCAGTCCTGACAAACTACATCTCAGTCCTGACAAACTACATCTCAGTCCTGACAAACTACACCTCAGTCCTGACAAACTACATCTCAGTCCTGACAAACTACACCTCAGTCCTGACAAACTACATCTCAGTCCTGACAAACTACATCTCAGTCCTGACAAACTACATCTCAGTCCTGACAAACTACACCTCAGTCCTGACAAACTACAACTCAGTCCTGACAAACTACATCTCAGTCCTGACAAACTACACCTCAGTCCTGACAAACTACATCTCAGTCCTGACAAACTACACCTCAGTCCTGACAAACTACAACTCAGTCCTGACAAACTACACCTCAGTCCTGACAAACTACATCTCAGTCCTGACAAACTACATCTCAGTCCTGACAAACTACAACTCAGTCCTGACAAACTACATCTCAGTCCTGACAAACTACACCTCAGTCCTGACAAACTACATCTCAGTCCTGACAAACTACACCTCAGTCCTGACAAACTACATCTCAGTCCTGACAAACTACAACTCAGTCCTGACAAACTACATCTCAGTCCTGACAAACTACACCTCAGTCCTGACAAACTACATCTCAGTCCTGACAAACTACACCTCAGTCCTGACAAACTACACCTCAGTCCTGACAAACTACACCTCAGTCCTGACAAACTACACCTCAGTCCTGACAAACTACATCTCAGTCCTGACAAACTACAACTCAGTCCTGACAAACTACACCTCAGTCCTGACAAACTACATCTCAGTCCTGACAAACTACATCTCAGTCCTGACAAACTACATCTCAGTCCTGACAAACTACACCTCAGTCCTGACAAACTACATCTCAGTCCTGACAAACTACTCTCAGTCCTGACAAACTACACCTCAGTCCTGACAAACTACACCTCAGTCCTGACAAACTACACCTCAGTCCTGACAAACTACATCTCAGTCCTGACAAACTACAACTCAGTCCTGACAAACTACATCTCAGTCCTGACAAACTACATCTCAGTCCTGACAAACTACACCTCAGTCCTGACAAACTACACCTCAGTCCTGACAAACTACAACTCAGTCCTGACAAACTACACCTCAGTCCTGACAAACTACAACTCAGTCCTGACAAACTACAACTCAGTCCTGACAAACTACAACTCAGTCCTGACAAACTACAACTCAGTCCTGACAAACTACAACTCAGTCCTGACAAACTACACCTCAGTCCTGACAAACAACTCAGTCTGACAAACTACACCTCAGTCCTGACAAACTACACCTCAGTCCTGAAAACTACACCTCAGTCCTGACAAACTACACCTCAGTCCTGACAACACTCAAAACTACATCCAGTCCTGACAAACTACATCTCAGTCCTGACAAACTACATCTCAGTCCTGACAAACTACATCTCAGTCCTGACAAAAACTACATCTCAGTCCTGACAAAGACACCTCAGTCCTGACAAACTACATCTCAGTCCTGACAAACTACACTCAGTCCTGACAAACTACAACTCAGTCCTGACAAACTACAACTCAGTCCTGACAAACTACATCTCAGTCCTGACAAACTACATCTCAGTCCTGACAAACTACAACTCAGTCCTGACAAACTACATCTCAGTCCTGACAAACTACAACTCAGTCCTGACAAACTACAACTCAGTCCTGACAAACTACATCTCAGTCCTGACAAACTACAACTCAGTCCTGACAAACTACACCTCAGTCCTGACAAACTACATCTCAGTCCTGACAAACTACATCTCAGTCCTGACAAACTACATCTCAGTCCTGACAAACTACAACTCAGTCCTGACAAACTACATCTCAGTCCTGACAAACTACACCTCAGTCCTGACAAACTACACCTCAGTCCTGACAAACTACAACTCAGTCCTGACAAACTACATCTCAGTCCTGACAAACTACAACTCAGTCCTGACAAACTACACCTCAGTCCTGACAAACTACAACTCAGTCCTGACAAACTACATCTCAGTCCTGACAAACTACATCTCAGTCCTGACAAACTACATCTCAGTCCTGACAAACTACATCTCAGTCCTGACAAACTACAACCTCAGTCCTGACAAACTACAACTCAGTCCTGACAAACTACATCTCAGTCCTGACAAACTACATCTCAGTCCTGACACAAACTACATCTCAGTCCTGACAAACTACAACTCAGTCCTGACAAACTACTACCTCATTCCTGACAAACTTACCCCTGACAAACTACACTACACCTCAAGTCCTGACCAACTACAACTCAGTCCTGACAAACTACAACTCAGTCCTGACAAAATACAACTCATAACTACATCTCAGTCCTGACCAAATACACATTTCACAATGATATATCTGTGTAACATTACAGATATCAAAGTGTCCTAAACTTTAAAAGCTCATCTTTGAAGTGATAAAATGTGTTTGTTGCCAAATGGATGACTGGATTCCAGAAGGTACAAATAAAATGGACGTCTTTTGTAATTTTCAACATATTTCCTAAAACCCTGAAATGACACCTAGTCTGGAAGTCAATGGTTTACTGGATATGTTTTTGGTTGGCCTGAAACAAGGTCTGTGGTTAACACAAGCTGATGAGATGTTAATGGTTTAAAACTGTATCCATGAATATATTATTACACAAGCTAGAAGCTGCATGTACAGTTTGTTGCATACAGATATATTACTGGGAGTATTTTATGACCTCCTGCAGAGACGTGATATCTTTCCTTGGTTTCTCTGCTGCTCACGCCTCATCTGTATTACTGTTATTGCTGCTCTATAATGTCCTGCACAGTCCCCCTGTGTGTTGGAGGATTTGACTAACACACCTAATTACTGAGTCTGTCTGAATGTGTCTGCATATTTCTGAGGAGAATATTACAACACACCGCTGTGAGAGGCATGCGGAGACATCGCAGTAACAATGGGACATTTAAGGGATGCTAGCTTGTTTTATCACACACACGCTTCATCAGGCTCTACACTGTATATTGCAGCTGTAACATGAGCTGTGCTGAAAGTAAAACTGAATGCTATAAGAGGAAAACTGGCAGCCTAGCAGATGTGCAATTAGTAGAAAATGGTCATGAAGTGACGTGAAGTCATGTGACCGCGCTGTAGTTCCTTTATAGCCCAACATTAGCCACCTTTAGCTTAGCGGTGGTGACGTGAAGTCATGTGACCGTGCTGTAGTTCCTTTATAGCCCAACATTAGCCTCCTTTAGCTTAGCGGTGGTGACGTGAAGTCATGTGACCGTGCTGTAGTTCCTTCATAGCCCAACATTAGCCACCTTTAGCTTAGCGGTGGTGAAGTGAAGTCATGTGACCGTGCTGTAGTTCCTTTATAGCCCAACATTAGCCACCTTTAGCTTAGCGGTGGTGACGTGAAGTCATGTGACCGTGCTGTAGTTCCTTTATAGCCCAACATTAGCCACCTTTAGCTTAGCGGTGGTGAAGTGAAGTCATGTGACCGTGCTGTAGTTCCTTTATAGCCCAACATTAGCCACCTTTAGCTTAGCGGTGGTGACGTGAAGTCATGTGACCGTGCTGTAGTTCCTTTATAGCCCAACATTAGCCACCTTTAGCTTAGCGGTGGTGACGTGAAGTCATGTGACCGTGCTGTAGTTCCTTTATAGCCCAACATTAGCCTCCTTTAGCTTAGCGGTGGTGACGTGAAGTCATGTAACCGTGCTGTAGTTCCTTTATAGCCCAACATTAGCCACCTTTAGCTTAGCGGTGGTGACGTGAAGTCATGTAACCGTGCTGTAGTTCCTTTATATCCCAACATTAGCCTCCTTTAGCTTAGCGGTGGTGACGTGAAGTCATGTAACCGTGCTGTAGTTCCTTTATAGCCCAACATTAGCCACCTTTAGCTTAGCGGTGGTGATGTGAAGTCATGTGACCGTGCTGTAGTTCCTTTATAGCCCAACATTAGCCACCTTTAGCTTAGCGGTGGTGACGTGAAGTCATGTGACCGTGCTGTAGTTCCTTTATAGCCCAACATTAGCCACCTTTAGCTTAGCGGTGGGGACGTGAAGTCATGTGACCGTGCTGTAGTTCCTTTATAGCCCAACATTAGCCTCCTTTAGCTTAGCGGTGGTGACGTGAAGTCATGTGACCGTGCTGTAGTTCCTTTATAGCCCAACATTAGCCACCTTTAGCTAGCGGTGGTGACGTGAAGTCATGTGACCGTGCTGTAGTTCCTTCATAGCCCAACATTAGCCACCTTTAGCTTAGCGGTGGTGACGTGAAGTCATGTGACCGTGCTGTAGTTCCTTTATAGCCCAACATTAGCCGCCTTAAGCTTAGCGGGGGTGACCTGAAGTCAAAAATCATTAAAAGGGTGTTAAAACGGGGTGTTTTGGTCTCAGAAGTGTAATAAGTGTGTGTGCACGTACCTGGCTCCACGTCCAGAGAGTGTGTGTCGATCTGGATGTGCAGGTGTTTCATGGCGTCGGAGCAGAACTCCTCCAGGACACATGTCACGGCCTCAGTGATGTTGTATGGCACGGAGCGGGAGAACTTCACCTTGCTGTTCACCACCACGCTGCCCCGCCTGAAGTTCAGGATCTCCAGCTTCTTGAAGCCCGTCAGGTTGGCCTGCAGGTACGGCATCAGCTAGAGGAAGCAGACAGGAACATCATCAGAGGTGTAAAGTACATTTACTCAAGTACTTTACTTAAAGGTCTTCTATTATGCTATTTGTAGGCATACATTATGGGTCACATATACAAATAAATAAAAAACATGTCTGATGTGTTTTGCTCAAAATACCAAACAGCATTTTAGCCTCATATCCCTCTGTTTCAGCTGTTACTAAAGTGGTGATTCTGGGTCAGTAGCTTTAAAAAAAAAGATATACCAAGATACTCAGCTAAATGCTGCCGTGATGAAACTCCACATCATGTTCCAAACCACATCAAGGATTCTCTCTGAAACAGGATGGAGCTCAAACTCTCTCTCTCGCTCTCAGGTTTACCACAAGGTGACTTCCTTTTGATTTCCTGCTTCTTCACACACACTCTCTCCAGCACAGGTTAGCTCTGAGTGTTAGCATGCTAATGTAAACACAGACCATATTACTTCCAGAACACGTCTCATTGTTTCTGACAGCAACGTTTCTGATTGGCCCGTGGGTGTAAAGCCCGCCCACATTTTAGTAATGTCGTCATGACGCAGCAAATCTGGATCAGCTCCGTTGATCCCCGTTTTTAGAGATGTGGGTACGGAGGAGAAGAGAGAGGGTTTGTTTCCTGACACTTTGTGAGTCTCTTGACACACCGGGGACACACCGGGTAACACCGGGGACACACCGGGGACACACGGTGATGTATAAAAGATATCAAAAACCTTCAAGTACAATTTAGAGGTACTTGTACTTTACTTGAGTATTTCCATTTGATGCTACTTTGTACTTCTACTCCACTTCAGTTCAGAGGTAATTGGTGTACTTTTACTTTAAGAGCCGTCCTCTCGTTATATTTGTTTTGTTTGTTTAAACCTGCGCCATTTTGGCCATTTGGTTTAGTTAAAGGCTGCCTGTATGTCTTTCTAATGTGAGTTTCAGTAAACCATTTTTATTTTAATTTATCACAACTGGTTTTATGTTGCTTTTCCTTTTTTCCCGTAACATGGAGCAGCATTTTTTCCAGTGTTGAGATCCTTTGGACGGAAGAAGCTGTTCAACATCTGACCGATGATTTGATATTAATGCCCAAATGTTTGGTTGCATTTGTCAAAACGCCTCTTCTGTTTTACATAAGCTGAAGAGCTTAGTCATGCAAGGACGATATTAGTAGGAGATTATAACGTTTCCTAAAAACTCCTGGATTGAGGAAATAAAAAAAAGGGAAGATTGAAAACCATGCTTCCCTTGTAATGTGGCTACGAAACAGCACTTAAACATTAGATATGCTGCAATTAATACCTAAAAATACACAATTATCTGTAAATACCAGACTCCACGAACAAGCCTAACTCCAGCACTGAGAAAATTATGGAAAAGGCGACGAATAAAAAACCTGTAAATATATTTTTTGGCCGATTACATCGTCTCATCCTAAATTCTACCTTTATCTCTTCAGTTTGAACACAGCTCAACTCATAAAGAACATATTGCCTCTCCTGCAAAGTGACAATGAAACGGTTGATAACATGTTCGATGCAGTAAAAGATAACACTATAAATTACAGAGTCCCTGAACTCATCTTCACTTCATCTCAACCAGAAGTCGTAAAAACGTCAAGCTTCAAATGTGTTCTTTTGTTACTCTGCAATAAAACTCTAAAAACAATCGATAAAAATATATGATGCCGTACATTTATAAGAAGGCCTGGTCAGAAATGGAAAGTAACTAAGTCTCTACTTTAAAGAGTCCTCTCCTGCTGATGTTCAGGTGTATATCAGTATGTAGTGTCTCTACTTTAAAGAGTCCTCTCCTGCTGATGTTCAGGTGTATATCAGTATGTAGTGTCTCCACTTTAAAGAGTCCTCTCCTGCTGATGTTCAGGTGTATATCAGTATGTAGTGTCTCTACTTTAAAGAGTCCTCCTGTTGATGTTCAGGTGTATATCAGTATGTAGTGTCTCTACTTTAAAGAGTCCTCTCCTGTTGATGTTCAGGTGTATATCAGTATATAGTGTCTCAACTTTAAAGAGTCCTCTCCTGCTGATGTTCAGGTGTATATCAGTATGTAGTGTCTCTACTTTAAAGAGTCCTCTGTGTGATGTGGGATAATTGTGGTTCACATCTCAACTGAATATACCACAGGTCTTGTCCTAGGCATATTAATGCAGAAATAAATTGCTTTAAATCCGAGAAATAGAACCTCTTCCTTTCTCCCTGCTGCTGTTTATCGCTGACAGCAGTGGAAACTGAGTTAAAACGCTGAAACACTCAGTAATTATCTCAAAAATATATATATAAATCTGCTCAGGACAATATATTGCCTCGTAGGAGAAAAAAGAGACTTTCTCCCAGTAGATTTCATTTTGCTGAACTGTTTTGTTAACTGCATCAATAGAGGTAATTATGTCCGGCCTAATGGGATTTAGAGAAAGCAGCAAATATTGAGAGTTAATTTGCTCGCTGTGCAGAAAGGCAGCTGGAGTTTTTGGGGAGTTTAACTGGATTTGAAAAGATGCTCATATCTTGATGAGATTTCTACTCTGAGGTGACCTTGATGGAATGAGATGTGAAGAAATGTGACGAAGGAAACTGTTGTTAATCTCTTAGTCAACAACATAATCACATCAGTGGCAGCCGCTGATGTATTCATCATAGCAAGACGCTCAAACACCAGCTATAAAACACATTTCCTGTTGCTGCATCATTCAACAATGACCGTAAATATTTGTGATGTGCGGGGGAAGCGGTACCCATGCTTGATCAATTAGATTTTATTGAGATTTGTCCCCTTAATATGCAGCTGTCTGACGTCTGTTAGCTAACTAGATCATCTATCAACATCATTTGAAGGCACAGAATCTCACAATAATATCCCTGTAAACTTTCCTCATCTGTTTGTATTAGTATGACAACTAAAGTTAAACATCGCACAACAATAAACAAGCTTTTTACACCTGAACATCAGCAGGAGGGGACTCTTTAAAGTAGAGACACTACATACTGATATACACCTGAACATCAGCAGGAGAGGACTCTTTAAAGTAGAGACACTACATACTGATATACACCTGAACATCAGCAGGAGAGGACTCTTTAAAGTAGAGACACTACATACTGATATACACCTGAACATCAGCAGGAGAGGACTCTTTAAAGTAGAGACACTACATACTGATATACACCTGAACATCAGTAGGAGAGGACTCTTTAAAGTAGAGACACTACATACTGATATACACCTGAACATCAGCAGGAGAGCACTCTTTAAAGTAGAGACACTACATACTGATATACACCTGAACATCAGCAGGAGAGGACTCTTTAAAGTAGAGACACTACATACTGATATACACCTGAACATCAGCAGGAGAGAACTCTTTAAAGTAGAGACACTACATACTGATATACACCTGAACATCAGCAGGAGAGGACTCTTTAAAGTAGAGACACTACATACTGATATACACCTGAACATCAGCAGGAGAGGACTCTTTAAAGTAGAGACACTACATACTGATATACACCTGAACATCAGCAGGAGAGGACTCTTTAAAGTAGAGACACTACATACTGATATACACCTGAACATCAGCAGGAGAGGACTCTTTAAAGTAGAGACACTACATACTGATATACACCTGAACATCAGCAGGAGAGGACTCTTTAAAGTAGAGACACTACATACTGATATACACCTGAACATCAGTAGGAGAGGACTCTTTAAAGTAGAGACACTACATACTGATATACACCTGAACATCAGCAGGAGAGCACTCTTTAAAGTAGAGACACTACATACTGATATACACCCTGAACATCAGCAGGAGAGGACTCTTTAAAGTAGAGACACTACATACTGATATACACCTGAACATCAGCAGGAGAGAACTCTTTAAAGTAGAGACACTACATACTGATATACACCTGAACATCAGCAGGAGAGGACTCTTTAAAGTAGAGACACTACATACTGATATACAACCTGAACATCAGCAGGAGAGGACTCTTTAAAGTAGAGACACTACATACTGATATACAACCTGAAATATCAGTAGGAGAGGACTCTTTAAAGTAGAGACACTACATACTGATATACACCTGAACATCAGCAGGAGAGGACTCTTTAAAGTAGAGACACTACATACTGATATACACCTGAACATCAGCAGGAGAGGACTCTTTAAAGTAGAGACAGTACATACTGATATACACCTGAACATCAGCAGGAGAGGACTCTTTTAAAGTAGAGACACTACATGCTGATATACACCTGAACATCAGCAGGAGAGGACTCTTTAAAGTAGAGACACTACATACTGATATACACCTGAACATCAGCAGGAGAGGACTCTTTAAAGTAGAGACACTACATACTGATATACACCTGAACATCAGCAGGAGAGGACTCTTTAAAGTAGAGACACTACATACTGATATACACCTGAACATCAGTAGGAGAGGACTCTTTAAAGTAGAGACACTACATACTGATATACACCTGAACATCAGCAGGAGAGCACTCTTTAAAGTAGAGACACTACATACTGATATACACCTGAACATCAGCAGGAGAGGACTCTTTAAAGTAGAGAACACTACATACTGATATACACCTGAACATCAGCAGGAGAGAACTCTTTAAAGTAGAGACACTACATACTGATATACACCTGAACATCAGCAGGAGAGGACTCTTTAAAGTAGAGACACTACATACTGATATACACCTGAACATCAGCAGGAGAGGACTCTTTAAAGTAGAGACACTACATACTGATATACACCTGAAACATCAGTAGGAGAGGACTCTTTAAAGTAGAGACACTACATACTGATATACACCTGAACATCAGCAGGAGAGGACTCTTTAAAGTAGAGACACTACATACTGATATACACCTGAACATCAGCAGGAGAGGACTCTTAAAGTAGAGACAGTAACATACTGATATACACCTGAACATCAGCAGGAGAGGACTCTTTAAAGTAGA